GTTCTCTCCTTTGGCTGCCACTCAACGTGAATGTAACCCTAGACACGTCACGTGGACTAAGACGAGGATCCCCTGTCGAGACTGTGGGGGCACCTGCGGCACACGACGGGATAGGTTTGCCGTCACCACACACGACCGCCTTTGTCTCCCTTGTGACAACTTTATGAATCGGCGGTGTCGGGTGGAGGAGGGTGAACAACACGCGCATGGGTTTTCTGTTTATTCGTCGTACAAGATACTAATTTGAGGCTGAGTGAACCTAGGACCGATTCAGATAATCGTCATTGGTTGCTGGCCATAAGCGGGAATTGAGCTCGGGCCGCCGGGTTCGAGAGCGAGCGAACACCGTGCCCGTTGCAAGTTGACATCAGTACTGCATTATTATGTATTATTATGATTATGTATTATTATGTATTATTACTGGACATTGGCGAGGTGTGTGCGCCGTTCCATTGTCGTTTAATTTCTGCCCAGGGTTCAGGTCAAGAGTTCGTTACGGTCAATGCCGTTGATGCCAACACATCTCGGTCATCGCTTCCTTCCTTTTGCCAGATCCCACAGCAGTAAGAGGCCGTCCATAAATGACGTCACGCACCTAGGGGGGGGGGGAGTCAGACATTTGTGACGTGTGACGATGGGGGGGGGGGGTTGATAAATGTGACGTCACATCAAAATGTGCAACACGTTCTACTTAATTGAATAGACTTTTTAATAAATGTTTTCTCCTACAACATCAGAGTCCAGCGCCACATTAAATACGCACTACAATGACAATAGTTTAAAGCAATTTGAAGCATGTTTTATTTTGGGGGGGGGGGCAGAGCTTTATGACGTCATATTCGAGGGGGGGGTCTGACTTTATGTGACGCCGTGTGACGAAGGGGGGGGGTAAAAAATCGTCCAAAATCGCGTGACGTCATTTATGGACTGCCCCCAAAACAGTCGGTGACCTCCTGACCTCCGAGGTATTCTCTTTCCAAATTCTCACCCAATCCGGCTCTGGGATCAAATGAAAAACAAATAAAAATAACGAATTTAAATCTTCATGGCCTATAATTTAATCGGACTTTGAGACAAACGTAAGAGGACGTTGCACCTGCGGCTGCGAGGCTTGAGGGCCGCGGTGGCGAGGAGATATCATCTCCATCGCCTGGTGCGCAGAAGTTTGTGGGTTCGATACCGGACCCTGACGATGCCTGTGGTTGTATGTTCGGTGTCCACGTGTTTTCTCTCTTTCTCTGCGGTGGTCGCGTGGATTGTTCCTCCGGTTTTGACGCTCTCCTATATTTAGAAACCATGCTTGAATTTTTTTTGGCTGCGACTCTTAAATTCGCACGTGCGATTATAAAGCCGTTTCGGGTATCTATTATGTGTGGCCCGTTCGCCTCTGAAAACAAATTAATAGCTCAGTGTGCTTTACTTTGGTAAATAAAATACTTAAGCTTACTTTTATTTGGACCCAAGTAATGCTATGCGCTTACAGCGCCATCACGCGACCAGTGCATGGGCCATCAAACTCAGATATCTCCTCCAAACCCACTCCAAACCCACCCATATACCTCTTGTATGGTGGGACGTGTAACACAACATCAATTAATATAGATTAATAAATAAGACTCGTTTTAGCTCACCACACGTGCAGCGGTGTGGATTTATTTGTATTCGTGGATGCTCTACCGGCTGCTGTGCATGATGTAGGTGGATTCTTGAGTGACAGGGCCGCGAGAGATGGTGACGGATAGACCACGCTTACTGATAATGATTCTTATTATGTGGTACATCATTAGAATATAAATTAGGCAATCGCTTAGAAAGTCAAAGTGATGTATTATTATTTTTTATTGGTGCTCATCTCCTTGTTGACAGCCTTGAGCCAGAGGTAGAAATTCCACGAACCTATTGCGAGGGTGAGTCTAACCACAGGACAACCACTATCGACTTCCCTCCAAAACGGTACCTATTTTATCGACCACGGAGGGATACTATACTGACCGCTGAGTCAACCCCCGTAGTTGACTCAACCCTCGCGGTTTACCCGCGGGGGTTGAACCAGCAGTGCCAAAGGTGTAATGGTTGGTACACTGAACGTGCAATCAAAAGGTCGTTGTTCATGATTCGATCTGCCGACGCGGCAGTTGTAACAATAGCGCATTTGTGGCGTGGCCTGCTCGACACGGATAGACAGTGGACCTGCATGCAGATTGCGCGCGGTGGGGTAAATCGTGGGTGCGCCCACATCCTCCACGTGGCGTGAGCGAGCAATTTCAGGGCTGCGCCTTTACCTATCGACTCAAAAACGAGGGAAATCCGCGCATTCGTGACTTAAACCGTTTTCAGAATCAATTTCCGGGGGGTCCGACGGGAACCGATGTCTCCGACTCTTATCCACTCTATCTCTCTGGCCTCTCTATGTACTGTCAAGAAGGGTCGTTTGCCGAAACGTCGCTAATTATATACTTTGTGAAAGCCACACACACAGTGTTATTGGCTGTGTTTATTGAGTTTTTTTTATTCTGGTATAGTCTTGTGATGAGAACCCGTCAGAGGGTCTCTGCAATGACCCAAAACATTTTCACAACTAGACGCTAGAGGTCGCTATCCGGCCGTCCATCAACACAACTGCAAGTGCGGTCACGCGTATCTTGGTTTTTAACCGGATCCATCTCGTCCAGTGGCACAGCTATCGGGAGTGCGCAGGTGGTGCAACTGCACCGAGTCACATGGTCCGTAGGGTCTCGTGTTGCCGGGCTACGTAGAAGACGGGGGGGGGGGGGGGGAATTGGACTGGGGGCCCCAAGTTTATCCCTTGCCAACCACGCGACGCCACTCACATCATCACTATCAGACAGCCATTCATCTTCCATCTGTACGGAATAGGGTGTTGCAACCTCGCACGCGTGGGGGGTTTCTTTGGGTGCTCCGGTTTGCTCCCATATGCAAACACTCATTAATTGTCCGATAAAATCTTGATATTGAGAGGACCGCAGAGCTTGGGCTGAGGAATCTGGGCAGTGCCGATAAGCTCCACGCTACTTTTAAACAACTCCCACGGGCATGCCAACCTGCACTGCTTGGCGATGATTAAATAACCTCCACGACGCATACGGCGTGGGGTAAATTGGTTGACAAAGGGCTGCACGTGGACTTCATTGTTTCGTCGCTCAGTGGCAGGATTTAATTCCACCACTCTCACATCAGTCCCAAGACACGTTGTCATGAGGATGCTTGGTGAATTGTGTTTTCGTTTAATGTTTAGGGAGAGACAAGGCATGTTATTATGATGCCTCTATTGAACTTCATCTCATGCAAGATAACACTATGTAACACTATTTTTGTTCCTGGGTAGTGTTATTTTCTAATTGCTTATGCCTCAAAGGTATAGAAAATGGCTATAATTTCCCACAAACTTTGCTTTTGTGACCAGGACTTTATGTGAAGGAATGACACAAATGCACACGTTTTCTCATTGAAAATAGGTACATTTCAAAATATCACTGTCCTGGTCACAAAAGCAAAGTTTGTGGGTAATAATAGCCATTGTCTGTACTTTTGAGGCATAAGCAATTAGAAGATAATACTTACTACCCAGGAACAAAAATATATTTTAGTTTGTTACACAGTGTAATGTTTGCAATGTTACATGCTCATGTAACATTTACGCGAATAGAAATAGGGGAACAAATTAGGACAGAACATTTTTAATTCGAATACAAATAAGATGGCAAAAAATCCACCTAACAAAAATCTCCTGCAACTACTTATAGCCAACTACAATTGTGACAGATCATCAATTCACTGGGATGGCGAAATGTGACAAGACCTATTAGACCAAAAATCATTCTCAGTCTCCTCGACCTTTCTGCTGCTTTCTATACCAAACACCCACTCCGTCCAGCTTGAGTACCCCATACCCAAGGAGGTGTCTTCAGCACAATCCTCTCCTGGTTCTGCTTTTACCTCTCAATCCGATCGTACGTTCCATACAAGGACTGTCTCTTTCCTCCTCTCAGAAACTCCCGTGCCATGGTGTCCCACGAGGTTCCATCCTTGGTCCCCTGCTCTTCTCAAGAAATCTCATCCCACTGGGCAAAATCATCTCCTGGTTTAATGTGAATCATCACCGCAACGCTGATGACACTCAGCTGTACATCGCGATTGACTCTATGGACCCCGCCTCGCTGTCCACTCTCAACATCCTCTGTTGATGCGGTCTGATCTTGGATTGGTTCTAACCTCCAGTTAAATATTGTAAAATTGAAGTACTCTTCATCAGTAAAAAAGTCCCCACTTCAGTTTGAGTGTGCACCTCCTAAACTCATGACACTGGCAGAGGACAAAACCGTAGCATTCTCAGTGATCCCAAGCTCTCATTCTGCTCTCACCATCTCATCCCTGCAGCAACTCATACCTCCATCCTCCCACCCCAGCTGCTGTCGAGACCCTCATCCCAGTCTTCATCCCGACTCGACTATTACAACGATCTCCTCTACGGCCTCCCATATCCATAATTACTAAACTCCAGATGATCCAAAATTCTGCTGCCAGACCTCTCGCTCACATACGTAAATTAGGCCACATCACCCAAATGACACCACCGTCTCCCAATCCAATCTCAAATTAGATTTAGGTTCGCACTCACCAGGTTCTAGATTATCCGTGTTCTCAGCGCTGCCTACCTCTCCACTCTCATCTCTCTACTCCCTTTCCGGCACTCCGTATGAGCCACCCACTCCCGGTCCAAGAAATCCATTAATCTGCATATGGTTCTGAATTTCTCAAACAAGTACGCCCCGTTTGGTTTAAAACCTTGAGATCAAGCTGCATTTAAGAACTATATAAATTTGACAGTTTAACGAGTATATGCATTGCTAATTAATCATCATAAACTGGTGGTGCGCATTATTGTAACTATTACATTATTGTTAAATCAGGACAACCAAATGCATTCGAACATACCTCATTCTTGCCCCGAGGTGTTCAAACCACACGTACGCCAACAATTTTGCATTTTAATGTTCAAGGTTTATTAGAGAGAAAAAAATTAGCACCTTCATAGCCACAGATCTATGTACAAATAGTTTAATATGTCAGTGTTTCGGCAAAGTAAACATGCAACCGAGAAGAACCTGCAAAGACCAAACTGTCATCGGATTATGCGTGCACGCACAGGGGCCTGGCCACCAACTGCAATTGCGCCAGCGGCATCGCCAACCAGAGTACAGACGGTGCAATTGCACCAGGGCCCATGGGCCAGAGGGGCCCAATCGCCAGGCTATGAAGAGGGGAAGGCGGGGGAAGAAATTAGATAGGAGGGGGGGCATTTAATTTCCTTGCACCAGGGCCCGTGTTAACAGCACTACGTCACTTCTCTGCACACTCTTCCAAAGGCACCAGGAGGCCAGCAGAAGCAGCGCTCTCCGCAACATATCCTGGGTACCATTTCATATTCCCAAGCAACTACATATACATGCACCAGGTTTCCAATCAGAAGTCAGATAAACGACTCCACTGACACAAATTCAAACAATATTTCCCCGTCTACGCATTCACTGCGTGATGGATGCATTTATTTTGCGGACGGGATGTGTAAATGTTATGGTTTTGAGTGAGAAACATTTTAAAGGCAGTATGTATTGTTTTATTGTCCAACTGATTGTACAAATCCAATTTTACTCACTTTTTAGAGCAAAAAAAAAGCTAATTTGAAAACTCCGCTATGGACAGTAATCATCTTAAGATGGCACGGTCCTTAAAAGACACGCCCAAGTCAGAACCCTCCGCGTTTGTGTACTAATCATTGCTGGTAGGGGCAAGAGTATCTACATACATTTATTATCTAAACATCTGGGCTTTCCTTTTTTTTTATTCGGCGACATTCATGACAAATAAACTATTTTTCCTCCTCTTTGGAGAGATGACATGAAAGTTGAGCTTTATGGCATTCAGAAAGTCACCTCGCAGAGGATCCAGCCGGTCAAAATGTAGACCGTTTAACTCCCAGCAAGGATTAACATCGATGAATGTTAATCAATTGTGTGCGACTGCTGCTGAAGTGTCAACATCTGACAAAAGTACAAACATTGTTCCAACCAAAATTGCTTTTTTTTTAAGTTGGCCGGTCTTGGTATTGAACGTAAAGTCTCCACTCCTCAAGTCTTAAACAAAGTTGTTCATCTTTGGAGTACAAAACGTTTCCTTGGCATACTTGATGTTGACGCGCGGAGTTATTGTACGGCTTATGTGTTTGTTGCAAGTCGAGGATTCGGCAAGAGACAACGGAAGAGTTAAATAAAGTGAGCTCCCCCACCAGGCCATCGGCCCCTCGTGTCTATTAACAGCTTTGGCAAAACATTTGCAGGCCAGGGGAGCACTTTACACCTGGGAAAGACAAACAGGGTGAGTAAAAGCAAAGAAAACGCTCCCGTTTGATAAAAAAAAAATTGTGGAAACAAAATAAGTGAAATTATCCCTAAAATACTGTGTTATTCTCAAAGCTGTATTACAAGCAAGCAGGAGGATTATATGCTTCTTAGAAAACAAAGGGCTTTTTTTTACCAATCCTGACAATTTCAATGTTCTGACATTTAAAATATGCCCACCTGAATCATAAGATTATGGTATATATTTAAAGATCATATTCACCGTAAATTTCCCAAAGTTTACATTACCCCGATACCATTCCAGATTTAAGCAATTTATAAATATATTGGTATGGGAATAATCTAAAATAACGGTCAAGGAAACATACAAAAAAGGTCTAACGGACTGATAATGTCGAGCTATGTTAGTGATCTTATTTCTGGTATATATATACGTCTACAAAACATATTCATGAAAATTGCATTACCTGCTTTTCACCAAAAAATTCGTATACAATTCCTTTTGAGTCATCTTATCTGGCCAAATGCAGATCCGAGCAAACAAAACTTGGCTTACGGACCTCATCGGCTCCGAAGCATCGGGACAGAAGGAGTCACTTTGTGGTTTCAAGCTTAGTCTCAGACGATCAGTTTCAGGCCATGGGTTGGGCACAGCAGGTAGAGGGCGTTGGTGCCACGCCAGCCAATCGGCAAAATGAGGCATTTTACTTGTTGGGTCCCTGCAGATCGTAGAGAGAAAACTGTACAGGAAAAAGCCTACGATGTTCTAAGGGTGCACTTGAAATGTGCTTATTCACACATTTTTGGCTAAGCAACAGAATTACAAAATATATATACTTCCCACCACATATAATTGAGTTATTCCAGTATTCTGAGGGTGAACCATCCACATGGTAATTAGTTTGTTTGTTTTACCAGCCTTACTGCATAGGCACAAGATCAAATCCTGAAAATGTCACCGACTAAACTGTGCAAGCCATTTCAGTCACACTAGTTTAATGTGCAACAGTGGCCTGAAACCTGGTCTCCTGGAACTGAGTTCCAAGCCACTCGTCCTGAAGAAGTGGCCTTGCGTTCCCCACAACTACCACCGCCCTCTCCTCTAATAGCAGGAAGCTCCACCGGAGGACGTGTACACGCTTCCACCAATTAACAGCACGCGCCAAGCCGAGGTACGCTTAAATGTCAACGTATTTAATTGCCAGGGTACACACGCCTACCTGCCGACACATATCAAGCTCACTCTTACGTTCTAGCACATCCGAGGCAGGCACTCTTAAAACCTCCACGCCACGACCACTGCATCGTGGCAGTGGCGAATTGCTGCAGAAATAAACGTCACTATTTCGATCAATAGTAAAAAAAAAATTATATTGTACAAATAAGTAAATATCATATAGCCGAGCTTTTATTTTAGCTTAACAATAACCAATCACAGCTGAAATCATCGTACAACTGAACTTTTTTTTTTAAGATTCGACGCATCCCCCAAGGTCGGCCCGTTGTTTGCAGTAAGGAGAGAAAGCTGAGTGGCGCTTGTTGAAACCAAAAGTTTTTCGTCGCTGCACAGCGGCGCGCTCTCAACAGCACTCCTCGCCGATGCGGTGGAAGGACCGGCCCACCTTCTTGTCCAGCTTGACCATCTTCTGCAGGGCCTCCTGCCGCCCGTGGCCCATGTGATCGTAGGTGCACGCGTGCTGCTCCGGCAGGCGGTGCAGGCTGCAGAACACGAACCCTGAGGGGCCGGAAGGGATAGGGCAACACGGCATCAAGTTTCCGAGCTCGGCAGCACTGCCGGCTCAGTCTCTGGTTTGCCTTTCGGTTCTGGGATTATCAGTAATGATAAAAACTTGGGTAACTGGCATTTCCAAGGCAACTAACCTAATTAATGACCCCGATTACATTCGAGAATAGCACGTACATACATTTGTGCTCTAGCCTCAAAAATAGATTTGGTGGTAGAAATCATGCAAAATGTCAGCTTTAACTCTTTCACCGATGTCAAGGTATACCAAGCGTGTATTTTTCTATTCACACATACAGTGCTTACCGGCATTGCTTAAAGTTCCCCTGGAAAAAATATTCAATGAATGTCAGTAAATTAATTAACCAAAGTGGCTTCCGCAAATTTTATCCATTTATTATGCAACAGAAACAATATATAATTGTACAGCTGTCTCCATCAGCACTGCGACAGAGTTATTTTCTTTTTATCAGTCGTGATAAAAAAATGCTTGAGTGAATCAGTACAGAGACATAGGCTAGTTCTAGCAAAGTGCTGCTTGGGCTGCTACATGGAAATTTGGTTACCAGAGCACATGGAGTCTCTTGGTATCCCAGACTGCGTAAAGACCACTGTGGCGCTGTTTGGACTGTGCGGTGCCACCAGCTGTACAATTTATGTATGGGGGCATGGAGCACATGGCTTTTGTCTGCCACTGTGATGGCAAAGCGACTGATAAAGGTCAGCCTCGACCGAGCACGTCCCACTAATCACAATCACCTACGGGAACGTGTCATAGCAACTACAGCATCCACGCACTGCAATTAACAAAAAAGGGGTTTCAATCCTGGAGGTGGATAACGCTGTTCGCCAGGTTGACGCGAGTAATAACCCACAACGCGTTGTGCCCAACGAAGAAGGCGCGCGGTGTTACGTTTGTGGAGGTAACAATGTACGCCGCTGGTTTTTCAGTTTTTGGCGACGTGTCCAGGAGGCTTAAATGGGAAAAATGGAACGAGGTGGTCGTAACGTGGAATCCATGGAGCATCCCAGGAGAATTGGTCTGGTGACAGTCGGGCGCTGGAGCATCATTACTCAATGTCGCTGTGTTACAAATGATTAATTAAACACCTACACTTTTGTCGCCTCGACTTGTAAAGCCCGAATTCAAAAGCCGGCCAAGCCACGGCCAATTGTCACTGATGATGCCACTTAAACGTAGCCGAGTAGTATGCACATAAACGCAAGTACTGTCCCATCCATTTGACTGTCAAGCTAATGGCAAAGCCGTTCTGTTTTTAATAAATTATTGTTTTGGTCTCATATCAACCTTTGTGTGGGTAGTTTCTCGTTTTTCTGTAGCTCATGTTGTCGACTCCATTAGCTTTAATATACCAGTAGCAGCATATATTCCGCCAAGACTGCAATTCTCACATGCGCAATCCAAAGCATGTTCCATAAATACAAAACGATATTTGAAATCGCATTTACATATGGTTACATGTCCAACAAGCACGAGCCCCCATATCCCTCTTCATACCCCCCCCAACCACCCCATGAAGCCGATGGTGGCCTCTGTGGCAACCCTCCATGGTGGCGCCCCTGGTGACCCAGACTTGTTGTGACCCCTGAGACATACCACAGCGGCACAAGCCCAGCTCCTGCTGCACAAGCTCCAGGCGGGCTCGGCACGTGAAGCAGCGGCGCTTGTTCTTTTGCTTGGCCCTGCCCTTCTCCTCCTCATCCTCGTCCTTGTCTCCGCAAGTCTTCTTGGCTGGGGAATCGCTGCCTGACTCGCCGTCAACGCAGTCTGCAGCCAGCGCAGGAAACACGAGCGTTCGTCGCCTTCAACACAGCGCACCTTCAACACTGAACTCACCGTGTGCGTCGCTTAAAACGAGATATAACACAAACATAAACAAACAGCTCTCTTCTCACTGCGTAGAGTGTCGTGGTTGTGCTAGATAGCTCTCCGACGTGTTTTTGGGTCGTACCATGTTGTCCAACGTTTCGCGCCATGTGCTGGGAGTGTCATCACGCCAAACAACGCATTGTACAACGTAAAACAAGTGGCAGAGATCGTGTAGATATCCACCCAGCCCGTCTTCCGGGGCTGCTTTAACACAGGTTTGAAGCTTCGTAAATGAGAATAAGAGATTTGAATGTTACGGAGAAAGGGAGACGTTACAGCCTGAGTGTAATCGGTCCCGTGTATTTTAGTCAATGCGGTAACGCCACAAGAGGGCTGGGACAAAGCACTCGACTGGTTCTATAGTCTCCACCGTCAAAGAAGAACTCACTGTAAACAATCAGTGACACAACCTGGATAATTTTCCTTTACTTTAAATGGTGTGTACAATAAACAAGAGGCGTGTATCTATATGTAGTTTATAGTCGGTTCTATAAACGTGTACATAAAAATGGTATAACGTGAACGCACAAGTAAACGATGTCAACAACAACAAACTCGAAACAACACCGATCTATAAAACAAACGTAATAACTGACCATTTTAAATAACCTCAAACATAAAAAATGCTGCTCGATGCAAAACGGGCTTTGTGTGCAAGTTTAACTATCCATCTGCAATACAGGCACCATGCCACAGAGTTATCCACGTGGAAATCATCATCAGAACCTGCCTGCCTCCCCATGTGTGCTCGCACAAAGGCGACATTACCTGGGTCATGAAGTCTCTTCAAAGGGATGTCACGCAATCTGGAGACAGGGCTCTCCGTCTCTGTCAGGCACAAGAGGCGCACACACAATTAAAATTAGATACTTGTAATGTTCTGCAGGGTCAGTGGGCGAAACAATGCAAATGCAAAGTAATTGTGGTTCATGGTGAACCAGAGTGTTCGCTTTCATCAATTCGTTAAACTATGTACAGCAAAGCTACCGGGTTTACGTGCAGCAATTCACACCCCATCCCAGCGAACTGATGAACTATCACAGTTGCAACAGGCAATCCTTTGTCGTATAATTTTTACTGTCACGACGAATCGATGCATCATTGCACGCGCAAAAGCCGCAACAGCTACTCCTTTGCGATTGTAATTTTGAATTCACCGCCAGCACCAACCTCTGGAGTCCTGGTTTGTGGAACGGCTGGATGGTGACATCGAGGTGGAACTTCCTGCTTCGGGCTCCCTCGATGGTGCAGGCTGCGGTTCCCGGGGTGGACTCACGCGCTCCAGCTCTGCGCTGGAGATTAGCGCGATCTCCGCGACGGGCGCCAATAGGCGAGACGAAGGCGCTGGCAGGGAAGAGGGGGCAGCCCCCGTTGCCTCTTCGCTAGCGGTACTCGCCCCCTCACATGGCTTCGGGGCGGGACACGGCTGCAGTTGGGCGCAAGGCTGCGCATGCGTCGTCTCGGCTGTAGCAGTGGCGGTGATGCTGGCGCCGGCTGGAGAGGCCGGGGCATCGGCCACGTCCGTAACGGTCGCCAGCTGCGGTGCGCAGGCTGTGCCACCACGGCAGGGCAGGTTAGGGGAACCTTGCAGCTCCGTGGGCAAAGCGCTGGAATCGCTGGCGCCACCGTCGCCCAGCGTAGGCGCCATCGATGAGCTGCCCTCGCCATCCCTGCTCTTCAAGTAGTCTGGTGTTAAACCAGACAGCGCGAGGGAACGGGGCGAGAGATAGAGCAGGGTGAAAAATTACAGGTTAAACACCATGTCGCGATTTGTCGTGAGCAGGCAAGCATGTCAAATTGTGAGTACTGCACAGATCGCAGTGATGGTTATGTCACCTACCAGCGAAGCATTTGGAGCACAGATTCATTGTCTTGGTAGATCTGGACATAAAAGATAAAAAGAAAAATACATAAAATGAATAAGAGTTGGCCAGTACACCTATAGGCAAGTGATATTTTAGCATCGACTGAAATAGCTCCTCATTCAGGTTGTTTCATGCTTCTGTAGATGAAACAAAGAACATACTCTATGTCACAGTGGCACTCCTCTACCCCCTACATGTCACCATGGCAAATATTGACTTTTACTTTTGGTTGGTAGGTTCCAGTTGTGCGAGCTGTGTGTCAAGAGTGTGTATGCACATGTGTGTCCAGGTGTGAATATGACCCATCTGTCCTTCCCAAATCCTGCAGTGTGGCGGCCACCCACCCTCCTCAACCACTCACTTCCTCACTCATCCACTCACCTCCTCACTTACCCATGCTTTCGCTCACCTACTCATTCACTCAACGACCTCCACCACTTACCCACACCTCAAATTATTCACCAACTGACTCTCTGACCCAACACAAACCTTAACCAAACACCCACCAACCAAACAAGTCACTCACTTCAACAACTTGGGAAAACAAACATTAATTAACCCACTCACTCACCAAACCACTCAGCCCACCCATTGACCTCATTCAATTGCATCCCTACATCATCCTCTATCTTATACTCACCAATCCATCCACCACACATATGGCAACCCATTTACTCACTTATGTCTCCCACTTATTCATACAAGCCCTCATCCACCCACCCCCTAACCCATCCACCTATCCAGACAATCATTGCACACCAACTACACAGCCAACCAACCAGCCACTCCTGCACCATGCCACCTAACCAGCCGACTCACCGACTCAGCAACGAGTCCAACTCACACAACCACTCACCTCACCCAAACAATAAGTGACCCAGCGACTCACTCACATCCACTCAGCTAGTCACGTATAGTCTTCCAGCCACTCCCTACCTCACTCACCTACCAAACCACTCACTCACCCACCTACCCAGCCACTTGCTCGACCACTCACCTACAGAGTAAAAAAAACTCACCCGTACACCGACTCAACCAACCACTCAGCCACCCTGCCACACAACTCACCCATCCTGCAAATAGCACACCCACCCACCCACCCGGCCGGCCACTTGGGTAATAACTCAGCCACCATTCCACTCAGCCACATAGCCACTCGCACAGCCAGCAGGCAACTCACCACAGCAGCCCCCCCAGCCGAGCGGCCACCACCCCGCTTCAGCCATAGCGTCCGGCACTCATGACACATCAAGAGCACGCCCATTCGGGGAAGGAAAAAATAAAAAAAATAAAACCATAACTCAAAACAAAAATCTTAAAGCCCCAACGCGACGTGAAGAACCCCGCCAGCCCGCCCGTCTGCGCGCTCTGGGAGTGTGCTAGGAGTATATTACGTACAGACAGGTGTGTAACACAAGTGTGTTGTAGAGTTTACACACAAGCGTGGGCTCGTTGTCAGTGTAGTCGAGCCATTTAAAAAAAAGATTTATTTGTTTAATTGTTAACACGGTGATGGATCTCTCCCAACCCCCGCCTAACAGCCCTGCCCCGGCGCCTCCATCACGCAAGCAACAACACCCACACGCAGTACAAACAACACTCGGCACACTCGTAATGAGCCACATTTAACAAATAGCAGTGCCTCGGGAGATAATGGAAGCCAGGCCCAGCAAGGCTTTACGAGACGGGAATGTCGAAGGTACACGTTAAGAGGTGCGGTGTCGACGCACACGCGAGATATGTAAGCATGTTGTACTGTACTCTGGCGCACGCACGCACACAAAGTGATTGTGTAGAATTATTTACAGCAGGGTGTTGTGCACAAGGGGGCGAGATGGCGATGGGCCGACTGGGATACGGGGCAATACATCACAGGACCAGAAGCAGGGCTGGGAGGGAGAAACTCTAAGGGAGATGAGCGGCCACCCGGCGGGGAAGGGGGACACGGGGCCCGAGCCCAACCAACTCGGCCCGACCTTACGGGACCCAGGCCTGACCTCGGGCCCGACCAGCAAGGGGCAAGGGCCACGCCACAAAACGATCAGACCTTGGCGTCTCAACACACCAAGCCACGTTCTATACTACCGAAACCGAGGGCGCACAAATCATGACCCAACCCAAGCTCGACCATATTAAAATACTCGAGCAGACCAGCTTGACCTTACCCCCCAGCTAGGCCCGGCCCGACCCGCCCCAGCCTCACGTTGCCAGTCTGCCCCCACGAAACCCGAACCAGTCTCCCACCGTCCCGGCCCAACAATAGCCGCACACGGGCCCCATCGTCCCGGTACAGCCATGGCCTCGCTCCCCATCTCGATCCGACTACATACAAACCGATCTCACCCACCACCACCACTACACCGTACCCCCAAACAACCAGGCCAACTCCATCGAGACGTAAACCCAACCGGAGTCAGCTCGACCCAGAACCGATCCGACTTGACGAGATCCACTCCGATCACCACCACCACCCCCACCACCCACCCCGCCGTGGGTGCGGGTCGAGCCGACCCGGACCCTTCGCTCACCCCCAGAAGCCGCAGCGGCAGCGCGGCTGACAACGCGGGGCCTCGCTGCCCTCGCTCCCGGTGTCGCCCATGGTGGCTCCTCGGAACCTCTCCCTCGGATTCCTCTCCTCTCGGTGCCGCTCCTGCTTCGTCTCCCCGCTGTTGCTGCCCTCGTCCTCGCCTGCGCGTCTCCTCCTGGCACTGTCCTCCTCCTCCTCTCTTCTCGTCCGTCACGAAAGCAGAACCCCCCCCCCACCCGTACACGACGCTTTTATGTGGGCGTGTGCGAGCCTACGAGGCTCTACAAGAGGCTCGAATACCACTCCTTGGCTTTGACGACGACGACGTCTGTGGTGGTGATGATGATGATACTAGTGGTGATGATGGTTACTGGTGGTGGTGATGGTGGTGATGATGGGAGCAGCTCGGCCGCGTTAAATGGCGGCCGGAGCTGCGGGTAGGGCGAGGGTTAAAGGCGATGGCTGAAGCGAAGCGGGGTCGGCGCGGGCCAGCGGATAGCGACGGGGAAGGGACGAGGGAAGGAGATGTAGGGGGGGGGGGGGAGTAAGGGTGGGGGGGGCCTTCAGGGGGAGGGGGGGAAGCGGACGCGCACGCAGAGAGACAAAGGCGGCTGTGTGAAGGGAGTCGGAGTGACGCGGAGTAGCAGAGGCCGGCGAGTGCGGCCGAGAGTCGGGGCCGCTAGCCCCGCTGTCAGCGCTGACGGCTCTCATCAGCTGGCGGGCGCTGCCACTGCGATCGAGAGGCGTGGGGGGGGATTTGTAAAACATCCGTCAATTATTACGCATAATTTAAACAAGCGAAGCGGTATTTTTAGTCGCCTGTACACAACATGTTAATATTGTTTTCTTATTAATCGCCACGTGGAGTTTAGGTCTTGTTGAAATGTGGGGTAGGTTGTGTGGCGAGATGGGAGGTGTCGCCCATTCCCCCCCCCCACGCGTGGAGTGGACGAGTCCGAGAAGGGGCCTTTATCGCGTTGTTGCGACGCTGCGTGCGTAATGAATGGGTGTGCGTCGCGTGTGTGTGTGCGTGTATTTGTCTTTGTGTGTGTTCACGAATACGTGTGATGTGCGCCTGTGTGTGTGCCTATGAACAAGTGTATTGTCATGTTGTATTATCTCTGTGCGTCTGTGGGTGCATTCCTCTTGGCGTCTATGAGCATGTGTTACGGTGTGTGTGTGCGTGTCTCCGAGTACGTGTGATGGTGTGTGTCTTGTTTTCTATGGATGTGCATTCGTGTAATGAATGTACATTGCTGTACACGCGTGTCTATGACTACGTGTATTGGTGTGTGTCTCTACGTTTCTCTTTGTGTTTGTTGGTGTCTTGTCTGTCTGCTGGTGTGTCTATTTGTGTATATGTACGTGTACATATTCTCTGTTTTTAAAAAAACACACTAATATGGCTTGCCATGTTACGGCACTAAAGAAGTCATTCTGATGATTTATGTCTCTGAATGTGTATGAGTGTGTGTTGGTATGTCTGTGTGTATTGGTATTTGCTTATGTAAATAATGTATGGCTGTGTAATTAGTTGTTTTTGTCTCTGTACGTGTAATAGTATTTTTCTCTGCATATGAATACATATTGTTTGTATCGTTAATATGCATGTGTCTGTATCATAGTGGTGTGTCTAGATATGTGTTAATCATTTTGTCTCTTTATATCCATGTATTTATTGGATGTGTATTGGTTTGTATAAAGTATTGTTCTGTCTATAAGTAAGTGTATGGTTTGTGTGTGTACATATTTTGTGTATCTGTATGGGTGTATTATCTTGGTATGTCTAAATTTGTGTCTCTGTGCATCTGTGGGTAAGTGTATGGTGTGTGTTGTCTCTGGGTGTTTGTGTGTAGATTGTTGCATTGTCTTGGTGTGTCCATGTTTTGTATTGGTGTGTCTTTTCCAGTATCTCTTTGTTGGCTACAATTGTATTTTGATGTTTTATAAATCCACATTGTCCATGATAGGTGAACTTTGAAGCCATGTGAAGGAACCCTGCCAAAAGGCCATAGGGGCAGATGTAGCTGTGAGGGTGTTAACCGACTGAAGTGACTGACAAATGTCTGTGTTTACTTAGAAAGCCTGAATATTGTGGTCAAAATTATGGAATAAAGAGATGAGCGAAATCAGGATGGAGTGATTTTGGAAAACTGAATTTGTTTATGCAAAGCAGCATAATGTGATTAAAGAAATACGTTTGCAAAAAGTACATATATCCACTATGACCAGCCTAAGACAACGTGGAGACTGACAAATATCATGGAGCAAAAGGTCGAAAGTGTGCAAATAAAAAATGGCACGATGTACGTCGGGAATTGCATTAAGAGTCAGAAAGAGAAACACATGGATCAGAGAGACCTCATCTGGACTGTTAAGGAACATAAATGGGCTTGGGCAAGACACACCACCAGATTGCACGATGGTTGATTACCAAGACTGGTGAGGAAATGGCAGCCAAATGAAAGAACACGGCCAATAAGTTGACCGCTGCAGAGATGAGATCTGCTCACGTGCAGAACCGAGATGGATTGTGCCATTTTAGGACCATGGGTGTTCGTGTCTGCATGGGGAGGCCTTCATGCAGCAGTGATGATGATACACACAAAAGGTAATGATCCCTTCATAATGCCTTAACAGACTTTTGGGGAAAGTGCTATTATCGAGCACCAATGAAGGCCGGTATGGAACACGAGTGGGGTGGGTGGCCAGTATCACGCCTGGCCGCGTTTGTCGACCGAGTGGCTATGTTTTGCACATTGCACCAGATACTCATTTTAGGCTGAGTCGACCTAGGGGAGGCCCAATACTGATTCAAATAATCGTCACTGGTGTTGACCGTGTTCAGTAATCGACCTCAGGTGGCCGGGTTCGTAGCGCAATGTGCTAACCGCGACAATACCGCTTCCCTGCAAACGCAAAGATTCCTCCTGAAGCCTTTAACATACCAGTTGGCAAAAGTGCTGTTAGTTAGCGAGCACCGATTAAGGCCCCTTGCCCCACACACTGTTCAAGGCGATATGCAAAATCTTCGTCACACACATACAAAGATCCCCCGTGCAGCCATATATATTTTTTTGTGGGCAAGCGTTGTCATCGAGCACCTATTTAGGCGAGCATGACACCGCATCAAGCTACATGTTTAAGGCTACATTGACCGAGGGGAGGCCCAGAATAGGCTCAGATACAATTTACTTGCCACTGATGTTATCCGTGGCGGTGAATTCAACCCAGATCAGGCAGGGAGTTCACTGCCATATGGACTCACAACAACAACAACAACCGCCGTTCGCACCGAGTAGTGGTGGCATTACCACCGCGCTTGTGACAGGCTAGGTGCACTTTTGAGGCCGCGTTAAGTGTCGAAGTCTGGCTGGCAGGAGGTATCGGGACATAACCCGGGTGGCCATGGGTTCGACTGACCGGAATGAATGGCCAGATGCACCACCTGTGCCCCCCCCCCCCCACCGCTGTGGCCAGCTCGCTGCGTGTTGGCCGCAGTGGCACATCCGTCTCTTGAGAGCTTTGGGCCGAATGTTTGATCCTTTTGTTGCTCGCTATCTGCTTGACGCGTGCCACGTTGGACAGGTGGCGTCTGGGCACGCTACCAACCTCAGCAGGCGAGGTTTCCTGCGGTGGTGGTTCGAGGTAGTTGGCGTTCGTGACATTGTGTGTCTGTGTGTGTGTATACCACGGTTGTGTTTAGGTGCGTGCACGGTTGACCAGGTATCGGTTATAATTACGAGGCTTTTCGGTTTGTCGATTAGTTGCCATTTCTTAATAGCACGATAGATTCGCGCGTGTAAGAATGCTTTTTTTCCCACGCTCAACACGTAGGCTTATGGATGCTTTTTTCCGTTCGTGTGTCGTGTGTTATGTGGGTTCACATCATCCCTGCAGCCACTAGAGGCCGCAATAATTCTCCACAAAACCGCATGTACAGTATATATATTTTTTAAACCCCCGATAGAATTGCCTCCCTGAGTTGTGATAGTTGATCAAATTTCCGGGGTCAGAAACGTGGTGAACGCTGCCACCACCACCCCTCCCCAGCAGGACTGCACGTCAACCGTGTTTATGTTCACTACGTGTGTGTGTGTCACGATCTGTGCTGGCTGTGTCACACATGGGAACACGTGGCAAGTTATTGCTCGGCGTACACACAGAGCGTGCTGTGACCGCGGACGACAATAGCTCTCGGGTTGGTTGGGGCGAGCAGAGCTCCCCGTGATAAATGCGTGAGTCGGAATCCATGGCCAGGGGTTGGTCAACTCGGGTTATCCGTTACTGTATTGTAATCGTTGGCGTTGTCATCATCATCATCAATCTATACAATCATGCACCCACTTACCTACAATTCACTCGTCATCAGCAGCAGCATCGTCAAGATCACCACATTCACGATCGTGATCGTCCTCCCCTCCCCATTTCTCAGCCTCTTGGCGTCTCCAAAATCCACAATCGTCCACCTATTTAGCATCCATCCACCTACCCACACTACCCGAACCGAGTCAACCGCACACTATCACCATCGTCAACAAGAACAGTCACTATTTAAAGGAGAAGTAGAAAAAACAGCACAGTAATCATTCACCCCACTTTGCCAATCTGTGCCCAGCCAGCAGCAGCATCCTCACCTCCCTCTTTGACCACACGCAGCCGATGGGCCCCAACGGATCAAAAACGATTTAAAGCTTTCGTGACTGCAAGGATTCATCTTCTTTGGTTCTTTCGGTAAAGTCACGTAGAATCAGAATAAAATGTTATTTTATTTTATCAATTTATTATTTTATTCTCATTCTACGTGACTTTACCGAAAGAACCAAAGAGGATCAAAAACGGTTCAATATTCTCCGCCTAAACATACTGCTGCTGAAAGTTCGTAAGGCTTCGTCGTAGTCTGACGGAACTCGATGCGTGTTCCTTCTTGGCACGTGTGCGTGATGAAACAAGCCACTGGCGTGTTCAATTGTCGCGGATTAAATGGATTTACGCGTGCTGTTTTTCACGTAACATTCTGTAACTTTTGTGTTTAAAAAAAGAGCTTCTTAGCTCATCGGATTTCTCCAGGATAAATAAAGATTCCGATTCTTGTACGGAATCTTTATTTGCGGTTGCGTATGCGCGGGGAGCGGTCGCGCAGTGGTTAGCGCAACCGCTCACGAACGAGGTCGCTCTCCTGGCCACGTCTAACATCATGAGCGAGTGTGAAATATGAACCGGTCCTCGGTGTTCACTCGAGATTCAACTTGCATCGTGTGGAGGAAACCATATTATCAGCCGTACATGGAGACACCACAGCACGTGTGCTTAAGGGTCAAAATACGACGCTGAGGTTCCCCTTGCTTGGTCACCTCGCCGCCCAGCTGGTTGGGGAGTTTCACAAACATGTGAATCACCAACCATTGCCTCCAAAGTGCTCCATTATATATGGTGATCTAACAGGCCTATTATCCTTGGTTCTTTCGGTAAAGTCACGTAGAAGGGAAACAATAAAATAATAAAAATATAAAACAATACAATTCTCACGACGTTTCGACTGCAACACAAGCAATCATCATCAGGTGTGAAAACCACAATCCCTGCAGTCACGAAAGCTTTAAATAAAAAAAAATTAGGCCTATTATCCTTCCGTCTGTTATACATTATAATCTCACCTCCGTCAAGAGTACACTGCTGGATAAAATAAAAGGCTTCACTGCGCC